GCGCGTTCTGGGACCACGGATATTTCGCATGCAATGTGTCGGGATTTTTTGCATCAACGACAGTAGTCAGTTTGCATTAATTTACTTGCAAATTTGACGACGCGAGATGCAACTTAGCTTGCACTTTATAACGCACGTATTGCCGTTTGGTCATCGATGAATAGCATCCGCAAACGCAACATTCACAACGATATCTTCGGACCCGCTAATTATATTCACGACGCAACTGTAATATAAATCGTAATTGATGCAAGCGGTACTTTTTATTGCTTCAAAATAATTGTATTAAAATATTTTGTAATGTGTGTGAAATATATAAAAAAAATTCAAGAAACATTTTGTAAATATATTTGCTTAAGGATATATTACATGTATTTTTTAATAAATGTGTTAAAATTATGAAAAAAGTTATAGATTTTTCTAAATTATATTTTAAAGTAATACAAAAAGTTTTTTGACGGCAATATGTAGATGTTTTTAAAAAATAATTAAGATAAAATTAGTAAAATGAAAAAATTTTTATTTAAACAATAAAATAGTATTGTTAAATATAAATATTGACTTCATTGAACTGTTTCGTTATATGTATATATTTAATTCATTTTTTTACAAAAAATATAAATTTCCAACTTCAGTTATTTTTTGTGTAGATTTATACATCTGATATATCCTTAAATTCGAAAAATTATGAGACGTTAAAAAAGAAAAATTATATGAGAGATGCATCGACTACGAAGATATTGTATTTTTTAAAATAAAATATAATTCCAATAAAATAAAGCGGTTAAATAAATTAACCAATTAATAATGAACTTTTCGAATTGAAAACAGATAGTGTGTATTTTTTAACAGAAATGTCTTTGACATATCCGCTTGTGTGCATTATTATTATTACGTTTTTATGGAAAATAAGCTGTATCGTTCTATGTAATGCACAATGCGTAATTTTTCATGGTTGACTTGATATTATATATTGGCATTGTCAGCCAGACTCTCCGCGCGCGTCATGTCAGACGAATTCGACCGTTACAACCGCAAAATTGGCTTCTGGGCAGAAACTAAGGGACGTAAAGGTGAAACAAAATCACTTACCAGTAAAGCTTTCCGGCCACCTGTCCGGGATTGCCGGGAACAAGTCCTTTAGATACCTCCAATTGCACCTGCCACGGTTTTCCAGAATCGCTGGATTCTGCAAGGTTTTTGTACCGCGTTGTGGTAAAGAAGAAGGAACGTATACTATTATCCAGATTTTTCCGTTGTGAAATGAGATAAATTGTTTTTTGTTCTTTAAATATTGTTATAAAGAAAGTGAAATAAATGTAGTTTACACATTATAGTCACGATAATTTGTAATAATATAATGTACACTAACATATTGTTGCATTCATAGAAAAGCGACATAACATAAAATTAGTAACTTTTCAATACTGCAAACACTGCAATCCTGATATAGGGTTGTATAAATTTTATTCTTATCAGAATTGTAACTTCCATAAGCAATGTATTAACAAATGTATCATTCTTTCACAAAAATGTATTTATGTTTAAAGAATAGGTTTCCTATTATTATCTCAAAAATACCAACTTTTTAATTGCGTCACTTTTCAATCAACACGATGTATCATGATGTGTGAGATTGACGTTTGAGTCGAATATTTTAATAAAACCGTACTCTTAAAAAAAAGAATACATTTCACACAACTCAAAATTAGCAAAAACTTCAGTAGAGCATATAAAATTCTTTTTAAATTCTGAAACATTTTAATTAGGATAGTGATATACATAACTTTACTTTTACTATAAAATAATTTTCACAAAAATAGATATATATATTATGTAAGGATATGATAAGAATTAAAAGAGAAAAGAATGATAAAACTTTTTATATAGATAGATCTTTTTTTAATAAACAATTGGGGTCACAATTCACTTATGTTAGTTAGTTAGTTAGTTTTTTAGACTCTCTTATAGTTACAGTTTTTTTTATATATAATTATACATCATATAATATTGTCGTTACACATATATAATTTTAGTCGTGGAGTATCGACTGAAGGTGAGGCATGATTCACTAGGTGGCCTCCTGTTCTATCTTTTTCTTTCATCTTTCATTCCGTAGGACGTACTCTCATGCATATACCATACGCACGCACACGCACACACAAATATCGGGAATTGTCGACTTGATCCGTGATTTCTAATTTTTTATACTCTACTACGTGAGACACTTTTCAAATGTCTGTCACAATTTTTCGCTATCGCATATACATACATAATCTAATTATTATAGATAAGAAGTACACGCTAAGTTATGTTTACTGAGATCATACTAATACATCACAGGGTTACATAAACATTAGATTTTTCTCTTTTGCTATTTTTTTTTTTGAGTTTTCTCCACGACAGGCACCACGCGTCGCGACTTTCTCAGATCTTATGAGATTCCAAGATTCTTAAGTTCTGTTCTTTTTTAATCCAACGGTGACACCGTATACTGTAGAGAACCCTCGATCACTAAGCTTTAATTTTGCAATATATCATTAGATGAAAAATAATTTTTTCACTAAGCTCGAAAATATTATCACGATCCTGCCGCGTTTTCGAGTAAGTCTATTAGAAAAATGTCTTACGCAATCAGAGAAAAAGAGGCAACTCTTATATTGGTGGCAACTATACAAGTTCTATATGTAAAATTAATGTACAATTATTGCAACTATAAAATAGTTTATTCAGTATGTATGTGTGTATATTAATTCTACATAGTACAAAATTTCTATAGTTGTCACTTACATAATTGCTATCGTTGCTATCACTGTTCTTCTCCGAGTGCGTCCATAGTGACATCGTCAGATTAAATTGACTTACTTTTTGTTTTTAATGATTTGTTGTACTAATATCAAGATCGTGAGGTGCCGCATCTTCCGCGAACATAATCAATGATAGTTATTTTTCAATCCGACTGCTGTTTTATAAATTTTTATGAAATTCTGGACTTTTTATTCCGCGCGGAAGAAAACGAAATATTGTGATCAAAGCGTACGTTTAAATTTTATTTATCTGTTTTCGTCGCTTCTCTCCCACACGTTCAGTATTACGGGCGGGCTTTAAAAAAATAGCTTGTAACCACCAGTCGTATTTTTGGATTATAATCTCAAAAAGGAAATGGAGAGCAGGAAAAGAAGTATCAGGAGCAAGATACGATAGGATATTTGACGAGGATCGCGTTAATGGGATGTTGACAAACAAAAAGTCGTGTATGATAAACAGCTACCATTATGAAACTCAATTAATATACAATTAGATAGTACGCTCTAATATTTTACGCTTCATAAATTCGTTGTCGACGAACGAAATAAACGCTCTTTTTACTATTTGCACTGGAATTCTTCTACACTCTGAAATGCTTAATTGTCGATCTCCATGATGCTTGTCAAAGAAAATGCTTCTCTTTGTACCAATTACGAAAATAAAGTATTGCGAACTATATTGATTTCTTGTTAAATGCTTGAAATTTCTTATATATAACTTTATTTCTTTTGAAATTACACATATATATATATACATAACGACTAAAAAAAAGTTAATGCCATTGTGCTGAATTTTTAACATAACGGAGATATACCAAAATCATTGATATTTTTTAAGATTAAGTTAAATTAAATTTTTATGTAAATGTAAGCTGTTACCAATGTAACATTCAATATAGTTTGTCTAAATCAATTGAAATGTGGCAATTTAAAGCATTGAGGTTGAAAAGCATTGTCTATAAATGAATATCCAAGAGAATATTGCGGCAAAACTGAGGAATCCAATTTTTAATCGAAAGTCATGTAAAAATATTAAAAAAAAGCTTGATATTTTAATTCGCAACATCAAAAAGAAATGAAAATGATGATATAAAAGAGGAAATCAAACCATGTTTTTTCCGTAAAGGCTTTATAAGGATTACGTGTCTCTCGTATTATCTGCCGGAAACGAATGTGATATGGGAGGGAAAAAAAGGGAAGGGAAAAAGGAAAAAAGGAGATGATGAATCTTCTTTTTTTTCTGTATTTAATAGGTAGAGAAGAAAAAATCACGAGATGATTTGGCATCGGCTGTACTTTCTTAAAATCGTACAGGAGATCAATGCTTAAACTTGGGTAACAAACTATAGCTAAATTATATATTTCTCTTCTTCCTTAAAGCTGGTCGCATTCTGACCACGGAATCGCAACCGCTCTTTTGCACTTTTCCTCTTCATGTTTTCGCAAGACCATGTCCGATTCGTGTTTGACAATTTCAAACAAAAACTCGTGAAACTTAATATGGAAATTTGAAGTCAATTCTCAATATCGCACACATTTCAAGGACACAGCATCGAAATTGGCGCGATATCTATCACAGAACTGTTTTTAAATAGTTTTTACATAATTTTAGAATTTTATCACCGGGCAATCACGAGTACCGAACTTCCATGGACAAGCTCAAACATCCTCTTCCATTAGATCCAATGAATACGCGCGATATACTCTGTTTTATATCTTAGAATCTAATCAGCTCTAATCCCTATGAGAATAGCCTATATAAACTTACATGTATTTCTTAGCTTCTTTCTCTCTTTTTTCCCATAATGTGTTTGTGTAACGACATCGTTTAAACATTTTTCTACGAACGTTTCAGAAACAAACAATGAATATATTACATTAATTAATTTGGACACAAATCATATTACTCTTTATCTACAATCTAATTTTTATATTCTCCTTAGTATTACTTATTCTATATTCTAATACAGAAAATGATGTGACACATATTATAAAAAATAGCGACGAGAGTCATTCTCTTTTCCTCTCTCTTTCCCCATCAAGCAACCTTCGCGTTTGACTCTCTATCTTATCCTTTCTCCCTCGTCTCACGTTCTTTCTTAATCGCTGTTACTATTCTCATAATTCTCGTGGTATTACAAAGCGATACGACAGACGAAGATATACATGATGGAGAACGGCGTTACTTCCCGGTTCTTATTTTTTCTTATTTTTTTTTTATTCATTCATTTCGCCTGCGCTCATGGCGGATAAAACTATATGAATGGCACAGCCAACGCGGACCTCGCACCTCCTGTCAGAGTCTCTACCCTCTTCTTTCCCCGTTATTCCACACGGTAATGCAGTTTCTCACTTCCGGTACTGTTTTCCCGTTGCGTACAAACGAGGTGGAAAAAGGCGACATTCGAATAAGAAAGCTGAAGGATTTTTAGCTGCGTATCTGACCCGCGTTGCGAGCGATCTTCTCCGGCGGCTCTATCATGCTCTTTGTGGTGCCGTTCAGGCTGCGCTTACGACTCTTCATATAGTCTGAAACAGACAACAAAGAAAACATGTCTTTACATAACCGAGGTGACAGATTTGTCGAAGAATAGACTAAAATCTAAAGGCAAACTGTCGTTTCGAATAATATTTTAATTTCTAATTTCAAGTCGATTGACTCGCCAAAGAGTACAGTGAAACATCGCGTTTTGAAAAGAATAATTTTGTTGAAGTATCCAAAAATTTATTTATACACAAATTCGAAAATAACTCATTTTCAGATGTACATAACTAAATTTTTAGATACTTTAACTATTTTTAGATACTGAACATATAACAAATTTTTTCAATCAAAACGCCAAATATTAAGAAATATAATGATAACAAGCAATTATATGTATCTTTATTAATCCTCTTTTGCAATCTAGATCTTTTTTGACGCAAGCAAAGCATACAAATTTCTTTCTCATTTTCTATTTTTATTAAACAAAAATTTTTAATTTAAATTAAACATTATTCGATAATGTAATAGAAATGTTGGCAAGTAATTTTGAATTTTTCCACATTTTAAAAAAAATATAAAATAGTAAAAACTTGGATTGGACAAAAAAGATTCAAACTGCAAGTGGAGGGTTAATAAAAAAATTAGTATGTACATAAAGTAAAAGAAAATTGGAGTATATCATATCTAAGGGTTAAGAGAATTTTTTAGAAAGTAATATTATTTATTATATATATATGTAGTTCTTTTAATTTATCTATATTTATTATTTGTATTTATTTATTAATATATATTGCATCTGGAGTAAGTCAAAGTATCTCGGAACGCATCTGGCGGACGGACAGCGTAAACAATTCGCAGCTTATCTTCAGCTTCGATTTCTTATAATCGCATGCAATGCCACTTAACCTTATACACAATCCGGCTTATTTTCCCGACCGCATGTATGCAAGCAAAATCTTTCCTCTCTGATAACCTTCGAAATATTATATCGTACCGTACTCGCTAATTATATCGCGAGATAAGAGCGCGAGGTCAGGATTTTATTATGTTTATTGCACGTTTGAACGCAGTTGCAATTTTCAGACAAATACTTTCGTTACCACGAAACGAATATCAAATTGGACTCGTGACAAAATTTCGCGCAATTAAAAATATTTAAGAAATGGAAAAACGATCGAGTGCACGAAAAATATATAAGTAGACAGGATATTTGAGAATCTTTAAAATACATTTAAAAAATTCTATTTTTTATATATAATAAATAGTAACATAAAAATTCATACAAGTCACTATATTTAACAAATTTCAAATAAAAATATGATCAGTGAGCTTCAAAAAGGAGCTCATTGGACTGACTGGACGTGACTCATAAACGGATACACCCCAAAGGTACAAAGGCACCCCTTTAGAGTACCATTTGGCGAAGTTTCCACGCGATGAAAATAGGTGCATCTGTCCAATTCTCTAGTCAACCTTCCTATACTTTTGTCGTTTGTCGAGGTACGTGATAAAAATTATTAAAATTACACGAGCATCTATGTTTCATTCTTCTAACACTCCCCTTATTTAAAATCCTTATTAAAATTCTTTTACTTATTATTTTAAATATTTCAGTTATTATTTTAAATACTTCATGGATATATTTTATTGTAATATATTATATTATAGTCTAAACATTGCCAATCTCTGTCTCACAAATCTGATATGTATACATTTTTTTTCTAATTATCAAACAAACTTAAGAATGTATTACCGCAAATTTTTCCAGATTCAAAAGTTAAAGTCATAATAAGAATACAAATCGATAGGGGATTTCGCAATTATTTTTCTGCGCGATGCTTTAAATATCTGGGACGAGATATGCGGGCGCTATCCTGATTTTAAATGCCGACCCTTTTGCAACGATCCGTCTGCCGCCCCTGGGGTTCGTAGACAGGGGCACGCGATTGCGTGCACAGCTGATGCCCCCCACGCGTGCAAACACTCGACGTACACGCGTCACGCGGAATACAAAGGGCTCGAAAAGGGGGCTAGTGCGCTAGTGGGGGTCGGAAAGGGAGATGGGGGTGCACTCGGGGCCAGCAACCCCATATGGATTTCAACAGCTGACCCACGCGGCTCATTAATAAAGTACGTTAGAAATATCGTTCGGCGCGGCGCCCCCATGGCTGTATCCGTAAAGCAAAATACGTTACGAACTCGTTACTTCCTCGAATGAATTAAGTGGCGCAGATAGGAAACCCAATCGGTTCCCATCCTTCTATTCTACACGTGTGTACACGATGCTCCGGAAGTTGCGCACTTCCTTTTAGATAGCAAAAGACGAACTAAGAAAAATGACCATTTCAATACTAAAGTTTTCATGAGAAACGATTAATTAACGAATATTGATCTGGAATTAATATCCAATTTTTTAAGACACTTTGGATTAATATTTAATCTTTTATTCGAGAAAATAAGCCAAAGATAAAATGAGATTAATGAAAAAAGCGTCGATGCGTCATGAATGTAACGGTAGACGACGAATGTCTCTCCGCTGACTTGCAGTAAAGCTTAGTTTCGCTTTTTCACGCGATGTAGTAAAAATATAAACAAAGGCGTCGCGTGCTGGCGCAACGTGAAATGTGTTTACACGTGTGTACACGCGTGCGCGACACATGACGAGTCATGTCCAAAAATAGTTGCGTCGCGTGGGTGGTGTGCATGGCCGAATAATAAATGGAAGAAAAAAGAAACAAAACTAGATTGTGTCAAGTTTTTACTACTTCGACAAGATGGCTGTGTGGCAACAAACACGCGATGTAAAGAAATTGGAATTTCGTCCAAATATTCAAAATCACGTAAAAATAAATTTTTATGGCGAGGCAACGTTTTACTATTTTTTTACGTTCAAATTCAATCTTTGTACATTGGTAAGAAACAGACGTGAGACAATAATTCCATTTTTACCTTTTTTTTTTAAGAAACTGCAAATCTCTCATCATTAGATGCTTATCTCTCAATCGTTATGTCACTCAATTATGTATTGACTCAATCTTTCCTCATCTTCGTACAATCGATTAATCGTTATCAAAGAAATTTCCAAAGGACGGTGATTAAGTTCAAAATTAGCACCGCAAATATAATGATACACATCGCTCGCGTGAACATATATATAACGTAACGTCAAAAAAACAATATTTTGGTGCGAAAATGATAACATGTGTACGGGTGGATCGTGTATGCAATTATGATTAACGATACGTTCCTTCCATTTCGAGTAGGCCTTCTTGCAAATATTATTGCAAGTGCATTCTCGGCGCTTCCCCCGAATAGTATGAAATATTTACTTTCAAAGTAACATGAGACAGAGATTTATCAAACTTTATAATATTATTAGTTACTAATTGTTTGGCGTTCCTCTATTTAAAATTCTACATATTAGTTTAGTTTCTCTTATAGTTCATCTAATAATTTATTTTCTTTGTAAAGTTAGTATCTCAACTTAAATAAATTTTTTATTATAATTCTGAGTACATCCCGAAGAGTTTTAGAGGTTCTTCCTAAAATTAAAAATAGTTCTGGCGAGTTAAATAAAAAAATCCAAAATAAACACTTGGGTTGCCAACTCGACACAAAACGATTTTATTTTAAAATTTCTGAAAAGATTTGAACACCGCACAAATTTATAACGCCCATTCTGCCTTGCTTTGTAGTGTTATCCCAAAATCGAATTTTGCGCGATTTACTGTTGACATAAACATCTAATGCAATATTATTGATTGTGTCATCGCTCGCGGTGTAGACGTACGAGCGTGATTCCGCTTAACCGTGAATAAAAGTTTTTATACTATCAAAGCCTCTCTTCAACGTTATCGCGGCACGCGATAATATAGTTCTGATAATGCATACATGTTGCGTTTCGTTTTCAGAATTCGGTTTTATTGACACAGAAAGCGGGAAAAAATGATCGTGCACTCTACATACAAAACGTTGAAAGTTATGTAGACTATTAGTGAATATTAAAGAATAATGATAATAAAGAAAATGTGAAAACTAGTTCAAATGAATACTTTGCGCCGTTTTGCTCATTGTTGTGAGATATAATATATTAAACGGAAAGAACGGTTTCACTAAAGTATTCAAAAATTTAGATCGATACAGATCCGTGAAAATAATTTTGTTAGACTATTAAAATAATAATTATGTAGGACTCATGATTGCTAAAATGTTAAAACTTTTCGCAGCATTGTCCATTTTGTTTGAGCGTACATGATCATTTTGATAGTTTAACAAAATTATTTTCTGATTCCGTATCTAACTAAATTTTTAAACATTTCAGCAAAACCGTTCTTTCCATAAATATAGAATATTATGAAATAAGTAAATGTATTTCCCAATACGCACAAAAGTTGATTAAAATTTTTATTTTACCACGAATTTGATTTTACCGGTTCGAATATATATGTATATTCTTTTATTCGTATGCGAGTGTCCAACAAAAAGTAAAGTTGATAATATTTCGAAATACAAACACGAACAACGAAATGCAAACACAATTTGTTATTATCAGGTGCTGACGTAATTACGACGACCTTCCAATGAACGAATTGGATTGACCTAGGCAATACGCTTCCTACATAAATGCATCGACCAAATTAACCACGATAAATTCTAGTTAGGAGCCAGCTATTTTTTGCAAAATTATTTTCATGATTCGTACGTACATAAAATTATAACTCTAAGCAAATATGCAATGATTCACATTTTTTCAATGAGATTAAAGTCTACTTTTCAGAAATTTCTAACTATAAAATAAATTCCCACTGATGTAGATTAATCTTTAATTAGTCTAACTCTCTCGTAATTTTTTAAATGCCAATTTCTACCTATAAATTTGCTTTAATATTGATTCAGCATATTCTTCATCTTTTTCTAATATTTAGAACAAGAAGATAAAAAGTCAGTTGAATCGAGATTAACATTAAATTATATTAGCAGAAAAGATATAATTTCAATGTTTATTTCTGCCAATGTAGATTACAGCTTTAATCTTAATTAACTATTTTTTATCTTTTTTTAATTTTAATAATTTAAGTTAATCTGCACTGATAGAAATAAATATAATTAAGATAACTATCAAATCATATCCTTATTCTATTGTCCCTGTTAATGTTTTAAGAATAAAAAATTTACGTTTATTTCTAAAATAATTCATGAATATTCCTAAATTATAGAATTAATTCCCTTTAACATAAAAATATCGAGTAAATGATCGACCCAAGCAAGCTAATAATTAATGCTGATAATTAACGCTGATATTTGGCAAGAACCAACGTGAAAATAATAATCATTATCCTCTCGATTGTCTGGCGTTCATTGTGTATCGTACAATGTAAGTATAAACGAACTTCATTATACTCAAAGCAGCTGAAGCTTCTGTTTTGAAAGATATGTAAAAAATACTTATGCGCGATGAGTTACGAGCAGATTAGAAGTGTGAAAAACGGAGATACGCCGGGCAATCAAGCAAAACGTGCCGAGTTTCGTTGTAAATTGCGACACGCATGATTTCATCGGGATAATCTATAACCGCTGATCAAGCGAATGTCGTCGCTGATAACGATAGCATTAATTTTGTAAATGAGCGCGTGTGCGGGCCAAACAATTTCAAAAACAAACATCGCCCGGTTGCATTCATACATGCACCTAATCGACGGAGATTCAAAGGCGAATATACGCTTTGAGTTTTACAATTTTTATTAGCTATTTTGTGTGTTATCTAAATCTTTTTTTTTGTCCCTCAAAAGCTCCATATCATTGAAATCAAGGTGCCAAGTGGAACTGTGCATACATGATGTTAAATTTGTCGAAAGTTGAATGAAAACATATACCATCACTGAAAACATTAGAAAGTACTAAAAACAACGATTCTATTGTGCGTTATTCAGCTTATTTAGTGTGGTGTAGAATGGCGGAAAGAATGATCTTGCAGAAATATCTAAAAATTTAATTTGACACGGATCTGAAAATAATTTATTTTGATGGTCCAATCAAATTATTTTCATATCGGTATCTATTTAAATTTTAGATATTTTAGCAAAATTATCCCTTCTGTATAAATTTTCCAATTTTTTTTACAAGAAATTACATCAGCATTATGATCTATTGAATTCTTCGCTGTAATTAACGGTAAAATTAAGTGTAATCAGTGAAAAAATAATTAGTATCTAAAGAAAAATTTGGAATTTATATTGTATAATATAAAAGATTATACGGAAAGAATAGTTTTGCTAAAGTATCTAATAATTGAGCTAGATACAGATCTGAAAATAATTTTGTAGGAAATAATTATATACACTCAAGTTGGTTCTAGAATTTTACAACTTATAGTTATATTACTCATTACGTTTGAGCTTCCTACATAATTATTTTGATGTTTGAAGAAAATTATTTTTGAATCTATATATCTACCATTGTACATACTCGAATAAAATAATTCTTTCCATGGGTAAATTTGCAAGAATATGCAAGACTCACCAGTGATAGTGGACTGTTTCCTCGCGGCAGAAGGTAGTACAGGAGTGGTCGGGTCTATCGCGCACCTCTTCCTCTTGGTGCAATCCGGATTGAGGAGTTGACTGGGTGTCGTAGCCTCGCCGATCTCAGGCACTCGGGGTTCCTGCGGCGGTGTCCTCTCGGCCGACGGCGCCGGCGTGACGACCGTCTCCATTTGCTCCATTATCCTCGCGCTCGTCACCGTGGTCATGATCGCTGTCAACGACGTCGCCGCAGCAGTCGATACCGTCGTTGTCATCGACGATGCCGAGGTCGATGCGGTGGTTAAGGCGTCGTCAAAGCGCAATTTGCGGGGTGTCCCAGGCGCGTGTTTCCTGAGGAAGGGCATACCGCGCAGGGCGTAGGGCTCGGGCACGACGTCGTGCTCCGTGAGCGGTTCCCACTCGTAACGCGAGTTCGATTGAAGAGGTGCACCCACTTGGAAGTTGAATCCCCATCGATTGGCGTCGAGCTGCGATTGAGCCCGCAATTCGCGCTCGGCGAGCGCCCGAGCCGCCGCGTGGTCCACCGGGCCGAAGAGATCGCGTCGCACGCGGGCGAGCGCGGCCCTGCTCGGCGCCGCTCGTCCGCCACTGCCGCCACCTCCGCTGCTCAGGTTCCTGCTTATTTCCGTCATCATCGCCGGGTTCAGCACTCGTGCGCTCATATTTCGTTGCGCTCTATCGCCGCCACTACGCTCTCGCGGAAACGCGAAACGAGGGGACCACTAAAGTGTCTTGAGCGTGAAAAATTGGGTTTCGGGAGATGAACGATATAACCCTGCCAAGTCTCTATTCTCTCTTCTTACTCTCTTCCACCCTCTGCACTCTGTGCCGCCTGCGACGGGAAAGGACAGAGAAGTTGTGACACGCGCTTACGAGATAAGAACTCGCGCTTCTTCTAGCATTGGCCGTGACGCAGGGATGACGATGACTCCTTCCAGGAACCGCGTCCCCGCCGCCGCCTCCGCCGCCTTCGCCGCCGCCGTCGTGGGGAACGTTGTTGAAATAATCGCGGCTACGCACCGCGGAGAACGGGAACGCTGGCAACGCCGCGATCCGTGGCGCGACCCACCGAATTTCGAATAATGGCCGCGCTGCCGCCGCTGAACGTTGACCAGGGCACCGCTTCGGTTCCGGCGTGATCGTACCTCGACGACGACGACGATGATGATGACGATGATACTTGACTCGATCCCAGGAGAGCGTGGCTCATAAGACGACGCGTGCACCAGCGTGCACGGTGAACCGGGCGATCAGCAGCCGCGCTTGGCAACACACAGGGGAGAGAGGGGGCAAGCACGGTTACTACGTGCCAGACAGAGATAGCGCGGCGGCGAAAACAAATTCCGCCTCGCTATCCGCGCGCGCGATTCCAACACAAGGCCGCCGTGGAGCAGCTCCTTCGCGCCAACAGTCAAAAGTGCACGATATAAACACTATCGATCCCCGCTCAAATTCGCTCAAATTCGCTCAAATTCGCTCTCGACCTCGAGACTCGAATAAACGATTCCTGTCGGCGTAGCCTCCAGAATGCGATCCGGCAACGCCGCACTTGCGCGTGAGTATCCGACCGACGGCGAGAGAGCGTGCGTTGCGACGTATCCCGCGCGAATTTCGTGCTTTCGTGGTCCACCGTGTGGCGATTGTCCGTGACGCGAGCTGACTTCTCTCTCTCTCTCACGTCTCGCTGCTCGCACTCACGCACGAGACACTGCCACGCACGAGAGACGCCGAGACGCGATAACGCAGTCCGTGGTCCCGGGATGAAGGAATTCCATAGAAAAAGCGGTATTGCACACGGCCCGCAAGCAATATGCCGATCCGCGGTGGGGGAGTCACTCACCGAGTGCGTCGCCTAGTCGCCTTTGACACCGCGTAAATAAGCACGAAGAATCGCACGCCTCGCTCGCTTTCCCGCCAAACAAACGCGACTGTCAAGACACACGCGCGCGTGGCCCACCCGGGGGGGCTGGCTGACTCTCTCTGTCGACTGTCTCTGGAAGAACGTGTGCGGATACGATTGCGCAGTTACGTGACGTCGCGCACCGACACACCGATGCGTGCGCGATATTACGGAGTTGCGCAAAGACACGTAGTCGTCACGAAAAGCGCTCTCTAGCGACTGAAGCGTGCTTCTTTCATTGCGAGCAAGTGAACCTCCCGCGCGATTCGGCACTCTTCGCCGCGACTCGGCTTACCTCGGCTCTCGGCCCTTCTCCCTCCTCCCCGCCGCCTCCACCAACCTCCACCGCCGTCCGGCCAATCACGCGGCGAGCGGAGGAACGAAATAACCGCCATTCGCGACGTATAGTCTCCTCGACCCGACTTGGGCGAAACGTGTGCGGTAAGATCGTACAGTGTACAGTTATCGGGAGAACGCTCGACGCTCTATCCCTACTCATGGGGGCCATGGGAGAACCGAGAACACGGTTTACACTGGCTTACACGGCCGAGCGGAATGCCAATCGCGATCTCTCTCTGCGCTGCGGTCGTGCTCCAATATTCCAGCTTTCAAACTTCGGGGAGGGACGAAATTTCAAGAGTTGACTCGTTAGGTTGGATTCTTAATAGGATTACTTCAGGGGACGATATTGTAACGACTCTGAACTGGAAAATTCTCTAGTTCGCACGATGACTTTCTTTCAAAAATGAAATTTCCTTCCGTTACTTTAATACTTCGCTCGATACTTCGTAATATATTGTAGGATTACTTGAAGAGATGAGGTTAAAAGAACAGTAACGAAAAACGAACCAACTTTCGTAACGGTTTTCTTTCGAAAAAAATTGGAAATTTGTCTCCGTGGAATTATCTTATTTAAGTAAGTAGCAAGTATAGTTTTTTATAAAAATCTTTTTTTTTGAAAAGAATAAACATTTCTTTATTTCTCTTAAAAAAGGATATAATTAATAAATTTAATTCTAACATAATATAACTAGTAAAAAATATAACTATAAAAGTAAAATTTTTTTGGAACGTTCTGAAAACCCCAACTATGTACTTGCGTATCTTTAGATCGTCCATCTACTTACAGATTAATTTCTCGGTTATTTAATATTTTACAATAGAGATATTTTGTCAGGAGATGTTGTCTCTTGCTCCTTTTATTCTCTCATTTTATGATGTGATTAATAAATAAGACCACGTACAGGATCGGGATCGAAAATGTCGGACGTGTCAAATTAATTTAATTGTGACCTTAATTCGTCGTTTTAATTGTCCTTCACGCACTCGTGCTCCCGGATAGCAGTGGCGAAAAGAGAGTGGCGCGTCCCTTTTCGAACGAGAGGGCATCATGTGGGAAACGAGAAATAAATGAGTCCAGTCTCCAAAACAACACAACGCAATCTTATCGTGTGCGTATATTCGATGGGTTTTCATGTTTGCACGACGCGACACGTTACGCACGATGAACTTATTTGCATACCACTCGGATTATCGTCGACATTTAATACAGCATGATAGACTCGCCACGCGCAGTCCGAAGGTTACTACGTTGAGCTACTACTGTAAAGAAATGAGATCATAATTTATTGAATCCCTCTGATTCGACACGACGTATCTCAAACGACGTGGTTCACCCAAATTTTTGTGTTAATTTAACGCGAGATAAATCTGTTAGATAGTAACACGAATATTATGCAAAAGTTTACACAAAATGTAATATTTTGACACAATTCGAAATAAATCGTGGAAACATATTTCTTTGGTAAAATTAACATTTATAATATGTTAAATTAACATGTACATTTACCTTTTATTTATTTATCTTGGAATTTACGTCTTAAAACTACGTTTAAAAAAATATTAAATATTATATTCACTCACTTTAATTATAAGCTGTATTATTTTAACATTCAGAAATCAATTTAACTGCAAATATTTAAATAACATGATTATATTATGTTAAATTAACATTCAGATATGTTACAAATTTAACACAAAAATTTAACAAGGATCGGTTTTAATAGAACATTTTTATTATGAAAGAAAAGTTCTCATTCATTATCTATCTAAAGAAAGTTATTAGTTTGATATATTATTTACGTAATAGTTTGATATATCATTTTACGTAATATTAAATGATTATCTATTATTAGTATATTTCTTGTTAAAGTCAGTCTCGATTCATTTAATTTATGTTAGACTGATAGCGTTGACTACGCTCCAAAATGTAACTTGATGATTTAAACTTTTCAGAGCCTGATTCTCTCGATAGTAAAAGTATCAAACAATCTTCCAGAGTAGTCGGAATCGCAGAAATCGATTTAGGAGAGGAAATTCGAAAGTTTTAATTCATAAAATGTCGCATAAAGGTTCTTTGACATCTTTGGATCTTTCAACGCGACGTTCCATTTGATTCTATGTACGAAACTACAGCGCTCCGTGATGATCGTGCGCACGTCACAGTGCTGAGTGCGATGACATAAAATCAACGGGACGAATCGAGACTTTTCATTGATAATTGTCAATTTACTCCGTTGTGCTCGTCTCGCACGCGGCACGCGAGGGGACACCTACGGGAAACAGCTCGGCGCGCTCATCGTCGCTCGGCGGTGCAACTCACGATGAGCGAAGCGTAGATAAACGATCCCGGAGTCCAATTGGAGAGAGAGTTTGCCACGCGGCGTTCAATCTTGTTCGTGTGTGTGTGTGTGTGTGTGTGTGTGTGTGTGTGTGTGTGTGTGTGTGTGTGCGGCTCAGTCGCACTAACGCTACGCCGCCATAACGTGGCTCGAATATTTCGAATATTCAAACGTCAGTCGAGGATGCCTATTTTTCTCCCACATCGCATCGTAGCTCAATTAACGAGCAGAAGTAAATTATCATGTGACTCGTTTTCAAGAATTTGTATAAATATGCAAAAAAGGATTAAAAATCATTACATTTTGCTCTTTTTTAACTTAAAATTCCCTAGGTTAAGGAGAAATCCCTACTTTTAACCACACTACTGCTTTACAAATACAAATTCATTGCTTTACAAACACAAATTCACTGCTTTACAAACAGAAATTCATTGCTTTAAGCACACAAATTCTTTGCATTAGCAGTGAATTTGTGTTTTTAAAGCAGTGAATTTGTGTAATTAATGCAGAACGTATATGTATATAGAGCTGTATCGAGTCGGGATGATAGATTAATCTCTAAAGTCTCCAACTTTAACGCTTAATAACTCGATTCACGAGGCCGATTGCCGCGTTTTTTTTTACCAGATTCTTTCGTTTTGAGTAAAAAGTCGAATAAGTGTATTTTTATTAAAATTTGAGGTGGGGAGGGGGAGGTTCTTTTTTTTTAATGTATTATTGATTGTCCTTTAACCCTTCATTACTCGCGTAGGGTGTTCAGGACATCCTGGTCTTATATATATGTTAAATGTAAGAATGCTCTTTGTATACATATTATTATGTTTGTTTTACAATTTAAAAACATTTTTTGTATTAATTTTTATTTAAGGATGTATCTGAGTCATTTTTACAAATATGTTAATATTTATACTTTAAACAAACTACATACATATAAAAATTATGTTTATAACATTCTATTTTTCAGAAACTTATGGGAGTATTACGTTAAAACAAATTTACAAAACCACGTGAGTAGTGAAGTGGGGGGGGGGGGATTAATTAAAATTATTTAGTAAGATTCTAAATAAGAGAGACGCCACGACGTGCAGGAGGAAATCCGCGTCGGTGCAGCACGCTACTCTGGGGAAACAAAATCCCACGCAGCATCCAGGAAGTGGTGAGGGGTGACACCGGATGCATTTCAATGAGGGGAGACGGACGAACGGGTTCACGTAAAACAATTCTTTCTGCGTTTTTGCAGAGACCACCGTCTCTTATTCATTGTCCACCGCAGGAGTGCATTTCAGCGAGGTGTCTGGTTGCACAGGTTGCGTTTTGTAACCCACAATAAAGCGAAAACTCTTATACTTCCTGCGATATTTGTTACCAGATAACGTTGACAGGTTCTTCAACAAATTTTATAATAATCGAAAAGATCGAGGAAGAGATTTATGCACTCAGAGAAAGACATAATGGTAGAAACTATATAGGTGATACTTATACAAGTTTTATATATGTAGAATTATGTATATAATTGAATAAATTATTTCACAATTATTATTATATAATTATGAAATAGTTTATTCAACTGTGTATAAATAATTCTACCTGTAAAACTTGTATAATTTTGTTGTCACCTTTATAACTGTGATACTGTATTGTTCTCTAAATATATTATTCTAATTATATATTATGTGGAATGCAATAATTAATTGGAGTAACTAATTTTCTTACGTTTTTATTTTTTATGTTTAATAGTTTCGAATACAATTGTTGACGAAATATTATTTAATTTATCCTTATTGTATATTAGTCTTCAACAACGTATTACTCATGCAGCCTTAAATGAATAGGTACGTGTTGTTACTACACGATTACTGACGATTAAAAAAACAAACATTTCTCGCCTCATGGACGATGCCTGGATATATGTATTTGTGAGTCAGCCAGATTGTTTCCAAAGGAAGCTGATGTTTATTCGCAGGCGAGGCGCGCGACCGGAAGGCGCATAGTCGCATCTGCATCGCGTGTTTACCACCGAAAGAGAGTCACCTGTTTCATCATTTCATTATCAGAACCGTGCTCTTACAATTCATTTGAGGCCGTCGTCGCCGCCGCCGCCGTCGCCGTGTTATCTCATTGCATACTAACGGGGACAGATTAAGCTGCAGCTGCGATAAATCATACTTTTATTGAGCTCAAGGTGGTGGATCGAGATCGAGGTTGAAAACGGATGTACTGTTCCTCAGATGTAAGAAGCTTGACGCCTACTCCTCCAAGACATGTCGGTATTTGGTAAGATGAATGCTTTAAGCAGTGATAAATTAGTCAGTTTACATACGTCGGATCAGAATGTTCAAGCTATTTAAGAATTGATTAACCCTTTATTACTTACGTGAGGTGTTCAATCTTATAAATTTGCTAAATGTTTGAATATTAATTACAATAATTACACATTACTTTATGAATTTTATTATACACATTGTTATATTTATATACATTATTTAGCGCAAATTGTTTCACAATAAAAAATTTTTTTTGCATTTATTTTTATCTATATCTTTATCGAAAGGATGTGTAGAATATCACACTAATATTTATTTATTTTATAAATCATCCAAGAGAACAATAAAATTTGAGACATAATGTTGAGGAGTCAGAAACCTCTTACGCGAGTAATTACGTTAAAAAAATTACGCGAGTAGAGTTGAACTTCAGTCAACTTTGATCACTGTTCGCGGAAATGTTCATTATTTGATTTTTATGACTGCGTGGAAATTCTCGTAATAGAAATATTGCACATATTCAAAAATTTTTCCTTCTGAGCATCTGTGATTGTAATTCGTTCGCGGAAGGTTCTTTATCGGAAGGATTTTCAATGCTCGGTCAGAATAATGTGTGCGGTATACGTTGTGCGGCAGAATATCTTTTGTCGCCGTCGCGATTGTGCCCACTTCCGTGGGAATTCGCGGAACGGAAGTGCAATTTCTGGCCGGTACCATCGTGGCCAGCTTCCATAGCGGAGCAGCGCGAAGAAAAAACGATCTTTAAAGAAACGATGCCAGGTGCAACGCGCACTCTCGCGCCTTCTCACGGCAAAGTACTCACGGATTATTTCGACGAAATCGTGATAGTCGTGGTATCAGCTGTCGCAGTGAGTATTTCACGAAGGAAATAAAATCAATAATTATAAATTTAAAAAATCGATTAGACAAGTAAGAATGCGGTGCTACTTGGTGATAATATTACAAACTCAGAGTTTATAATATTTGTATAATTTATAATTTACTTGTACTTGTCTAATCTGCTTGTAATTTTTATTTCAATATTGAAGGTACTGTCTCGTACTATCTTTTCATTTACAATAATTAAAGATAACTCGCAATTATGAGATGTATTTCTGATCGATAAAGAACTACGTTTTAAATATTTTTTTTGCGAACTATGTTTTAAATATTGAAAAAAAAGTGTTTATTCTATTCGTGATTTTTTATCAACTTTTCTTCTCTACACTAAAAAAAAATACGAAATTTTAATAAATATTTATTTGAATAATTTTAAGTAAATTTACTAAACATATATTTATTTGGTACAAGAATCATTAATTTAATTACCATTTTTTTATTGAACAAATATTTATTTACTATACGTAAATTATTACTTAGTACTATTCAAAAAATATGTATTAAGATTTAATAAATTTTTTTCAGTATATTTGATTTATAGACGTTTTGTGATAAATGCTGTAGAATATAATTATTTGTCGTAATGTTTTATTTTAGTGTAGTATAAATTGATATAAATTAGATTACGCATATAACTTATATATTATTGTATTAAGCATTGTAGTGCCAAGCTCGCGTATAACAATTCTCTTTTCTTCAAACGTAATCCGAAGTGAGAAGGAAAGATAAGGGAAACAGATATATAAAATATTGCAATTATTTTATAATTTTACAGAAATATGTATATTTTTCAACAGATTTTTCACAAATCTTTCTTTTAAGCTGCGCGGATACACTTTAAAGTATTAAAAATATCGATTGAACATCGTGTATTGCACATTCATTTTTATAGACATTAAATTGAATAATATCACATAATATATATCATGTTGTAAAACTATAAATAAATGTAAAAGTATAAATAAAATTAATTAGATACCAAATCCTAGGATTCGGTTCGCTTACATACATGTATATACATGTATATCTCCAGATTTCTCTTTTAATAAGTTAATTAAAATTAAGAATTTAGCTTTGGTTTCTTATCTTGGAGATATGATTTGACATCATATCTTCTTTGACTAGAAACTTAAAAGTCAATCAATTTGAAAGAATTAATGAGCCACCACTTTATAAATTCCAGTTTATAAATTGTCATTCTGTAAACATAATTATGTTTTGTAAAATTTTGGGCTCACTATTCTCCTAGCTTACTTGTATAAAAAACCGTTCTAATCTTTTTAGAAAAAATTTATAAATAATTCGTTATTAATAAAAAATGATTCATACGTATTACAAAAAAATTTACGTAGTTATTAATTTACGTCTTATTACGCTTGAAAAATTACAATGTCGTAATTAAAATTTGCTTATTATCAAATAATATCACAATTTGATTCTTTTGCCGTATTGTTTTTTTTTTTTTCATTAGTCGATTGGTTAAACGAATTTTCTGCATTATTTTCTGTTTTCTCTGCGCATTCTTCTCGTGAATTTATCCTAATATTTATCTTAAATTCAAAATTTCATTTCCTTGTTCATCAAGTTGTACCCATTCATAACGAACAGGATTCTCCACTGGCCTTCCGCGCAGAAAATCGAAATCCCACTTCTTCATGGCCTACGCATCAATAAACTTTTCATTTTTAAATGTCAATCGATGTCTAATTTCTGCAATATTTCACGTGTAATTACTTTATCGAGACACAATTATTATGTAATTGTGACGAGAAATAATTTTAACAATCGTTCGAATTTAATTAAAGAAAATTATTTGTTTCTCACCTCTTCCAATTGTATTCGCCTTTCTTCTAAAAAATGATTGTTGATATTCTCACGTTCCTGTGGGTTGTCGTTGTCACCATCGTCGAAATTAAGTCTTCTACGCACACGATGGAGTCGACTGATATCAATGTTCCTGCGTTCTTGGTGATCGTTGCTATCGCTGTCTGAAGAAAATCTTCTACGCACACAATGGTGTCGATTGTTGGTACCGTTGTCTGAAGAACGTCTACGTACATCACGGCGTTGGTTGTTGTGTCGGATAATGTTAATCTTTTCTTCCATTGCTAAGAAAAATTAAACTTCTTAATGATTAAGTTAGGTCGTCCGCGGTTTTATCTTTTTATAATTGATGGAGTTTATGATAAAGAGGAAAAGGGTTAATATTAAAAAATAAACTTTGATTTGAAATCTGATCCATTTTATTTGGACTCGTCCGAACTTTTTAAACATAGATTATTAATTAGGAATTAATATCTTCTCAAATAAAATTTATTGAAACTATAAAATTTATTGAAAGCTATATTCTTCGTCGATGACGAAGTTGAGAAGTGGCAACAAACTCCTGCACAAGTTTCTCACCACTTCTTACTTGGGAATATCTTAAAGAAAGGTGGGAGAAGAGAGAGAGAGAGAGAGAGAGAGAGAGAGAGAGAGAGAGAGATCCTTACCCATGCGAAATCAAATCTAAAACAATATTATGACAACTGTCTTCGTCATCGTCGTTATCACTGGAAATATGAATTGTTGTTGATATGCTTTAATTACTTGTGGCTTTCTATGGCTCTTGAAATAATTTTAATTACATTTAGATCCAATTGTTAATTTAGAAAGTTAATTTGAAAAAATGTCCTCACAGGGCTATAACCCACAACGTAGTTGAATTTTGTTTGTTCTTCTCATAATATTCCGTATTTATGATGAGCAATTTATAATAAACTCTTCGGATATATATATCAAGATGTGAGAGTTTTTGTAGTAATGTGCAAATAATTTTCCCATTACATTAAAATATAATAAAATAGGTTTTTGAATTCAAATGTTGAAATTTTTACTTAATAAAATTAAAAAATAAAGAAATTTTAGAATAAAATTTGCTTGTGCCAAAAAAATTTCAAATTATAGACACAAAATTAATGCGTACTACTAATCCAGTGTAATGCGAGTGACTAAATTTATCATAAGTTAACAATTTGCATCGCAAACGTTTTAAAGCTGCGAAACTCCATCAGGCTATTATGATATTTCGCACGTAACTAAACATTAGCTTATTTTTAAAGTATCTTAAAAGCTCGTATCTTAAAAATTGAAATTATGTGCTACAACTTTATGAAAATTCGAATGCACAGTTCTATCTTTTTACATATTATTCTTTATTTATTATTTATTTGTAATAACCAAAAGTTCATGCACTGTAGAAATATCCATAATACACCAAAGAATACTCTCCCCCCCCCAACATCCCAATTTATTTTACCATATATTGTTAGAGATAATCCCAAAGATTCTACTTTAAATGGTCACGCGTTCTTAATAATCTTCGTAGGGACGTCTCGTAAAGTAAAGGATTGAATAGACTTTCGAAGTTACACCAGTGCAGTGCCAGAGATAAGGTTTCTCTTCTTTTTGTGCTCCTTACGCTCTTAATAATTGCGAATGAAACACCGCGCTTTTTACGTTAACAAACTAGTTTGATTCGTCGGGTTTCGCCGTAAGTACTAACGAATGTGAATTCCACGTTATTCGCGTAATTACTATGATGTACAGTGGAGCAGGTGATACAGCCGAGTGCATTAACTCCGCAGGTTACATGCAGCGTGTTGCAGGATGACGCAGTACAGTAGCTTCTCTCCTCGCTGCACTGGCCAGGTTAATGCACTCGAGGGTACGTGCTTTCCTTTCTCGGCACATTTCGGCCATACTCACGCGTACGCGGATTGGGAAGATAAATGGGTGCTGGCGGCACTCCGCGAATCGAGGTGCGAGATGGTTCGCGAGAGGAAAGGAGAGAGATGGAGAAAAACGAGCGCTCATTGTTGAAATCACTCGAATGGCGTCATGCGGAGCCAACAATCATCTGATTCGGCATAATATATATCGTCGCACCATATTAACTCGAAAATCGCAATCGTCCGAGAAAGATATATGTATCTATATTTTTTTCTCGTTTTCTGAAACCGTCGCTGTACTTTTTGCGACGATCCAATTATTACGGATTTATCGCCGGCATAAATTGCGCGTGCCGTTTATTTGGTCGTCTTAAACTGACATTGGCGATTTATCTGGAGCACTGTATGTCGAGTAGACTTAACTGCCGGTATTGGAAGTACTCGTTTGAGATGATACTTTGCGTAGCTTCAACAAAACGTGAAATTACTTATTTCATTTGCGTACTTAGCTCTTTCTAAATCTTAGAAAACGTAAGAAAATTACTTGCGTGGAAAGAACGATTTTGCTGAAATATCTAAAAATTTAATTATATACAAATCTGAAAATAACTTTGTTGGATCATTAAAATAATTATATAAGGCGATCAGATGATTACTAGAATATTGTCAAAACTTTTCACAGCATTGTTTATTATGTTTGAGATTCCTATCACATTGAGAAAAATTTCTAGTTGAAAATGAACGAATCAGAAAATTCTGATCATCTCTAGGATTAAAAAAAGATTATAACAGACAATGGCTATAGAATTATAATAGATTCAATCAGAAAATTTTTATTTGGTGCGTCCATTTTTAACCAGAATTCCGATTAATGTAATCAGACTTTTTCCAATGTAGCAAAATTGTTCTTTTGTACATAATATTATATAGTATATTCAACTCTTTTGATTTGATCGACAGTTTTGTGTTCTGAAGAATTGTTCTCTCTCGCACATTCCTATATGCCTGCAGCCTATCAAACAGGTAGTACAAGTTTATACAAAGGTGCATGCTTTTCTCTGACCCACTTAGACGTTCGACTATTCCACACAACCCACACAGCAAATGTATGAAAAATACATCTTAGAGATATCTTAAAGATATATTTGGGATATGTGATATCTTTAGGATATATGTCTGATGAATTTCGGAAATTTTTACTGTATGGGAAATATCGAATTGCACAATTGATTTCATTATTCTTATTTGACATGTGAGAATTCTTCACGAAACACGCAAATGTTATGTTTTTTTCCAATTGTACAAATTAGTACTGAATTATCAATTCTAAAAAATATAAATATGGATTTAATATGATATGGTGTGTTTATATAATTCTCACTGTTGATGTTGATATAAACACCATGGGTTTTAAATCCACACCGTGTTAATATTATAACATTGCATCAACACGGTGAGGATTATAAAACACCATATGATGTTAAATTTACATTCATATATTTAGAGTTTATGGAATCGAGAAGGTAAAGAGAGAGATAAAGGAGGATACAATTTTCATCTTTTCGCGGTCGTTCGGGGATCATTTTATTTTACATTTTCTTGTGTATTTTTCTTTATGAAAATAAAAAATAAGTCCTTGTGGTATAATTTGGACGTTTGTACTGTATGGGTTCTGTTTCATAGATAAAAAGGAAATGCGATATAAAATATTCCGTGCACGATAGACAACTACGGTTAACATATCCGGTGCAACTTCGCGACTCGCAAATTCTATTTCTCATTTTTATTCGTATTCTTCGCACGTCACGCTAATCTAAGGCTAATCTTACGACGAAATTACGTCAGAGACAAGTTTTGTAGTTACATTGACAGCAGGTCGAGTATCAATCGAAAGCGGGAAAGGAAAGTATGCAGAATTAATTAAGGAAACGAATGAAATTCTAGCGGCCACAATTATTATGTCGAGATATGTATCC